TGATCCTTGATATATCTACTAATTGCACTTATCAAAGACATAATTCCTTCAATCTCCCACTTGTGTGAGACAAGTGCGCAATATTCAAATTCCTCAAGTCAATGTGCGTCGACTTGATAATATGATTGCATCTCAAGTCGAGATCATATTAATCTACAAATCTTTTCTTGAAATCTGGGTTAGAATTACTAAACAAATTATTACTATGTAATCTATTTGAGCATGGTCTAGCATTTTCTGAATTCTCCCTCTTCAAGGGGAAAAGACACATTCCTAATTAAATAGGTAAATTCAATCCAATCTTGTGAAACCAAAGCTTGTTGCAAAATTACAAAAATGTCATTAGTGAGGGCGGGTGAAACGTAAGCCGTTAGATAGAGTGCGATCAAAGGCTGAGATTGGTTCTTAGTTCTCATTATTCACCTAGGTTCTTATATATTTATATATATGAGTTTTCTGGAATTATTGTGTCGTTTGTTCCACTGTTGCTAACACAACTCTTTTTTAAATTCTTCTTAGCTTTTATTTTGACACTAGTTTTGTGCCCGTTCGATGCCCATGTTGTTTAATAAATTTTAAATAAAATTTTTTATCTAAAATATACTTTATGTGTTTTTATTTGACACTAGTTTTGTGCCCGTTCTACAATATAATCTCTATTGCATGAGATTTGTAGGATTATTGTGTTGTTGTTTGTTCCACTTTTGCTAACACAACTCTTTTTTAACTTCTTCTTAACTTTTATTTGACACTAGTTTTGTGCCCGTTTGATGCCGAGTTGTATTATTCTGACACATATGATACCCAATAAGTAAATTTGGATATTTTTTTTAATTAAGATAAAAATATTGTATAGAGTTTATTATCTATATAATTCTAATATTTATATATACAAAATTAATCATAAATTTTAATAAAAATCCTATAACTCGTAACTATTTCCATCATAAAAAAGTTCTTTAAAATAAGATACATTTATAATATATTTAATTTATTTTAAAACATAGAGAATTTATAAAAATAATCTAAGTTTAATAAAAATAATTTCAATTTATTCAATAATAACATAGATATTTATTAACAAAATAAACCACAAAATTTACATTGTTATTTAATTAAAAAGCGATATGCTAGCGTATGTTTTAATATCCTACGTTATCAAAAGGGATTGTAAGATCGTATTTAACATTCAAGCAAAAAATTTTGTACTAAAATCTTACCAACAATCTAGGCATCGCCCGATCACAAAACTAATTAATAATTAATTGTTGTCAATGTGGCGCGACACATGGTGAAAAATTAGAATGCCAAATATCGCCGTCTCGTGACCGGGCTAAATGTTTAGCTTTATATACTAGTTATATGATGTAATTCATTATTATTAGAATACCAAGATATGGGTTAACCTAAGTATACACTTGGATAATTTATAAACATTAATTATTCATGCTAGATTATATTATTATGAGAAGTTTTATTCATACGAAATATAAAAAAGTTTGCTTACATATAAAGCAAAAATTTACAAATTTTTTAACTAATACTAAAACAAAACATTGATGATGTTATCAATTTCTTAAAGTGCTTACGTGTCAAACTCTCATAAAAAAATTTCCTCCAATTTTTACCTATGATGTCATCATTTATCTTTTTTTTGTGCCTTTTCTAGCTAGAAACTAGGACCAATTAGGTGTGAAATTTGGATTTGACATCAATATTGTTGTATATACTCCACACTACTTTTGGATATATATTCTATTAACTATTACTAAAAAAGAAGTTGTTGACGTCACCATTGCCCACGTGTCGCTTTCTCAGTAAAAATTTACCGCATAAATGCAATGATGTCATTTTTTTGTTTTTTTTTTTGTAGAGCTATTATATTTAACATTTTTGAAATTTAAATATTGGAAGGTTCTATATTACCACTAAAACCTATCAATTTATCGTAGGAAATTGAAATAATTTTAAAAAGTACACTAATAAATGATCTCCTACATTGAAATATGAATTAGACAATGTTGAACATATACTATATCATAATTTTGATGGAAATAAAAAAATTTAAAATTACTAAATATACGTAATTCTTATTTATATTCATGTATAAAAGCGATTTATTTTTCAAATGTACAAATTAAAATTAGATTTTATATAAATCGTGCATCACACGGGTTCTAACCTAGTTTCTTAATAAATGTAAGGTGTATTAAGTCAATAACAAATACTCATTTAAACAAGAAATTAAATCAATAGAATGTGATCACCAATCCTATCATAATTTTTTTTTTTGAAAGAACCAATCCTATCATAATTTAATAAGAATAATAATTATAAAATCTCCGACTAATCAACTAAAGATTCATGACAACAATTCAATGAACAAACAAAAATATTTCTTTACAAAAATCCCTTTGCAACCAACTCAATCAAGGTCCAATCGATCCACTCACACCACCCCCGTGTGCATCTTATGAAATCTCACCTTATATTACAAAATGCAGGGCTTGCAGGAAGCAAATGTGGGACAACCCACTCGTGCACCCATTAATTTATATAAATTAATTATAAAATTAATTACAATTTTCTCAAATAATGTAATTCAATTAATTAATTTGTATGGAAGTTGAAATGTCATAATCTATGCACATAAATTCAAGGCTGTCTTGATAAAGATGTGTCTCGAACCGACTATTTCATCGGTTGTTGTATTGAATCATTTCATATTTGTTAGTACCATTGAAAGGATTTATCAATGGATGCCGTGACCACTATTCATGTTAGGAAGAAGACAAGGTTGATGCACAAAATCTATGCATTTATGTCAACGGGAACCATGTTAGATCACTAGACATCTTAACATGTATGATTTATATATGGTGCATCGTATCAAGAAGGATTATTTGTGTTAGATTAATACTCTCATCCATTCGTTTTATTATAGTGAGGATTATACATACATACATGCATTGTAGATCAGGGTAACGGAATATATTAGGGCAATTTTGCTTTATATGAATAACAAGCTTATCTCAACTTATTTATTTATTTATTTTTTTTGAAAAAAGTCATAAAAGGACATTAAATTTCATTAATGTAAGCCATACGGCATTTACAATTGACAATGAACGATATTGAAAACGAATTTAACAAAATCAAACAAGAATTAATCGGGGAAGGGCTAAGAATCCAAATACATAAATATAACAATTCAACATATTCTCGATTCGTTGTCTCATACAACTTTTTGAGTGGATCCGTCGTCGCTTCGCAATTTTGTGAGAAAGTAAATTCTTGTGTTGATTCCGTAACCCGAATCCGAGCCACAATCAATAGTAGCCCCGCACAACCGGAGACCAAATTAAGCACAAATAAAACCTTGTCTTTCGAAGGAGTACGAAAAACCTTGTCTTTCGAAGGAGATCGAAAAAACCTTGTCTTTCGAAGGAGATAAACCCTTTCTTTCGAGGGAGACATTATTGTAACCTAAAACAAATTAAAAAGCTTAAAAGAAAATAAAGATTGGGGCTTTCCACCGGTGAAATCCGATAGAAGCCCCTTAAAATTAAGAATGGAGACTAGGTTTAGGAGAGAGAAGAGAGAAAAGGAGGCTAGGGGTTTTTTTTTAGAAGTATGATTTGATAATGTTTATCTCAACTTATTATTATTATTATTTGACTAATTCAATTCCCTTCATCTGATTTATTTAATAAAGGATAATACATACATATACATGCATTGTAGATCAGGGTAACGGAGTATATTAGGGCGATTTTACTTTATACGAATAACGAGCTAATCTCAATTTATTATTATTATTTGATTAATACAATTCCCTTCATCTGCTTTATTTAATTAAGGATTAAACATACATAATGCATTGTAGAGTAATGGAGTATGCTAGGGCGATTTTCTTTTACGGAGTATAAGAATAATGAGCTTATCTCTACTTATTTAAAATTAATTATCGTATAAACTTGTTTTGTTGAACCATGAAATAAATTTATTACGGCTATATTCTTGATGTTATAAGTTTTGTATCGAATTCAAGTTGTCATTATTAAACTTATTTGAGCTTTATTGTCGATTTTGTCTAAACTCATCTATTGTTTGTAAAACTTGATTAAGGCCCTTTACACTTCACCTTATTTTTGTTGAATTGAAATTATTTTTACTTAACTGAAATTATTTTGCTAAACTTGAATTATTGATACTGAACTGAAATTATTTTTACCGAACTTAATTTATTTTAATGAACTAAAATTATTTTTACTGATCGTCTATTGATTATTATATTTTTTCTTTGAAATTACTGGTTTTTACTGAATTAAACTTATTTTTACTAAACTAATTTGTTTTTACTAAACTAAAATTATTTATCCTAAAATAAACTTATATTAATGAACTAAACATTATTTTTTTTATGGTGAAGTGAACATGGCCTAATTTGTAAGCCACGAGCTTAATAACCCTTAACATTTTTTTTTACACAAAACAAGGTTAATTACCTTATCTCAACGTTTTACTTTTTTTTAGGTTAAATTACTTCATTAATAAAAAGTCATACCACATGTTTTTAACTTAACGGTCTATATTATTACTAGGTCTATATTATTATTAAAAAAATAATAATAATAAAACGCTAACTTTAAAATTTTACAAACAGATAATTTAAACATATTTTACATATAGAACAGGAGTTATGATATTTGGGAGAAGGGTACGTAAACCAATATACTATGTGGATTCAACCAAAAATTCCAAATTAAATTAATTAAAACATCTCATTTTTTTTAGCGTAACTGGCCCATGAATTATATTTTCAAATATCAAAATTAGTGTTTACAAGCCTAAACACTCACTCGAGCCTGTTCTTTTTAGCTTAATTTTCATTTTAGTTCAGTTCACTTTAGCTCCAGCCAATCAGTTCATTTTAGTTCAATTCAGTTCACTTTAATTCCTAATTTCCTTCTCTTATAAAAAATTTAATTCAACTTATTTCAGTTCAGTTCATTTTAGCTCATTTCATTAAATCAGAATAGGTCCCAAAACCCTTACTCCGTACATAAATCTTAAAAACTTAAGTTAAGAAATAACATCTTAAAGGAATTAATATTAATATAACTTCGTGTACTTCCCTTTTTTTTTTTTAATCCCAATACCCTTACTCCGACCCGACGGAATATTTAAATTAATACATATAAAACAATCGAGTCTAATTCAATTCAATCTGAATTATTTATTTGGTTTCGATCGAATTAGACTTTAACTTTAATTAGAATTAGCATGCACCCTTGGTCAAAGTCAATATATGAATAATGTAAAAATCAAAAAAATAAAATAAAAAAAATCTAGCATAATTTTGTCCTCTCTAAAGGATCATCCAAATGAATCAAGAGTAATTTAACTTTAAGTCGAATTTCATTGTCGAACTTGTATGTATAAAATATTAAAGGTAGGGACTACATGAGATTAAGGCTATATTATTAGTTCAAAAACATGCAAGTATGATAAGATAAACCCCCCATCATTATGGAAGGCCACCCTGGCTTCACATGTTCATTGGTCACCACATTAGACCTCGATTATTTTTGCTAGTCTAACACTCTATTATATTTTTAATTTTATTTTGTTTTGGTAACGGTAGTCTAATTATTAGGCCTTGATGTTTGTATATATACGTGACCACCCCATATCACATTTGTATAATTAACCTTACAACAACAAAAATAAAATTTTTGTGTTTCTTTCTTAAGTAAAATGGCTGGTTTCTTTCTTAAGCCAAGTACTCGAGGCCATGCTAGATCAATTAGCTTACCGGCGAGATCACATCCTACCACCCTCAAAATGGAAGAAGAACTTAACAAGCTTCGAAATCTAGAATTTTCTTCGTCGAATTCATTAGCAACAAATAAACTAGGCCTTGCCATATCTGGCCTTGCGGAGCTCTACAAATCTATAGGAGATCTTCTCAAATTACCTCAAACACAAAATGCCTTAGCCAAACACAACGATTCCTCTTGGGTGGATGAGCTCCTAGAGGAATCGGTATCATTCCTTGATGTATGTGAACACACAAGGGAAAATTTGTTCCTTTTAAGGGAAAGTATAGGGAAGCTTCAATCAAGTTTTAGGAGAAGAAATAACAGTGGAGAAGTAGACATCGATGATGATGTTACTAAATACGTTTCTTTTGTTAAGAATTTAAAGAGAGATATGGGTAAATCCCTTGTTTTTCTAAAACAAATTGACATCAAATTGTCAGAATCTTTGTTGTTTAACAAGGTGAACAATGATCAACACATCGTTGCAGTGGTACGAGTTTTAAGGGAATCGAGCTTGATGTGTAGCACTATTTTTAAGTCGATTTTGGGATACTTTTCGGGTACAGCTTTGCAGCCTAAGGCTAGCAAATGGTCTTTAGTGCTAAAAGTTGTGCACAACAAAGGTCATGTAGGAGATGACCTTAATGATTTGGAGGATGCAGAAATCGCGCTTAATAGCTTGATTGTTCGAAAATTGAGCAAGCAGGGTACGGGTATGATGATTCAACTTGCATGTAAAAAACTTCTATCACTTGATACAAGAACAGAAGAAATCGAGAAGGATCTCGAGTGCTTGTTTAGGCAAATGATACATGCACGAGTTTCTCTCTTAAACATACTCTCGGATCATTGATTTAATCAATTAGGGAGCAATATGTTCTTGATAAAGATTACAATAATTTTTCTCTAGGATGAATTCTATACACAGTATCCAATTTTTGGAGGATCTGTTACACGAGTGTTTTTTTTTTTTTAAAAAAAAAAAAAAAAAGAAAAGTTATTGTTAAGATAATTATGTCAATCATGTACATAATACTCACTAGGAAAAATGCAAAAGGAAAAAAAAGGAAAACTCCTTTGTATTTTTCTAATTGATCGACAAGTTACATGTAAACCTTTAGAGAATTGCATAGATTTATGCGTATTCTATTTCATTGGCTAATCTATATAATATCGTCAAATTTGATTTTAGATGAAATTTTTTTAGCAGGATAATTCGCTCGTTTAATACCAACTTTCTCAATAGGTATCATCAATATTTATAAAATTGATGATTTATATTGAGAAAATACAAATTGGAGTGAACTTGATAAGATCTCAATTGATAATGTTTTCACTAAAGCTATCCTGATTAACAATATGATATGCTTTATGAATAAAAAAACAAATCTCAATGACTGAAAGTAAGAATACACTTATAAATCTCAATCAAGTGTCATAAGCACCCCTAATTCTTTCCCCCAAAGCCTTGTAACTTTGGCGGAGATTGATTTGTGCTAATATAATCCCACTTTGCTTGTTGTAAAAAAAAAGCACCCCTAATTCTTGCTATATTGTTGAAGAATACACCTCATCTCCCAAGTGTCACCACATGTAAGTGTCATCACATATAAGTTGAAGAGAGTGTTAATCACTTTATAAGGCTTAGGGACTACTCCTTCTATTGTCATATGATTTTGAAATGGAATCTCTTTTGGACTTGTGAAGCGGACTCTCTCTCTTGGTTGCGGGTGCGGCCCAGACCCGTATTAAACATGGTATCAAAGCCAACGTGACACAAAGTCATGAGTTCGATCTTATCCACCCCTCCTTTCAAAGTGAAATATTTCTTACATGGTATGCGGGAGGCCTATGTTACATCCACATTTCAAGCCGCTTAGGGACCACTTTGGACTTGTTAAGTGGACTCTCTCTCTCTTGGTTTGCGGGTGCGACCCAGACCCGTATTAAACATAGTATCAGAGCCAAGTTCACGATATGGGACCCTAAATGGCTAAAGTTCACTAGGCCAAGAGTAGGTCCATGTGAAGGGGAGTGAAGAAGTACTTTAGACTGAAAATTCATATGAGACAAAGTAAAAAAGGACCTTACATGTGAGGGTGAGTGTTGAATAATAGACCTTCCAAGCGTCACCACATGTAAGTCTCCCACATTGGTTGAAGAAGAGAGAGTTAATCACTTTATAAGGCTAAGGGAATACGTCTCCTATTGCCATATGGTTTTGGGATAGAACCTCCTTTAGACTTGTGAATTGGACTCTCTCGATCTCTTGGTTGCAACCCATTCCCGTATTTAACATATATTCATCTCAATGTTTGTATTATGAAGATATCAATACTGTTTTATATATAATTTTTGTACAATGATGATTAAATATAAATGTAGAATGATATAAATTATAAATTGACAAGCATAGAAGTATAAATGTAATTAAACATGAGAATTTCCATAATTCCATGAATCCCCTACAAAAGAAATTCTCAAACTACTCCCTTCTTTCTTTTATATTAGAATAAAGTAAAAAAAAAAATGTAAATAATGAGTGGATTTAAGATTAAAGTTAATAGAACTAAAAGGGGAGTGAGTAAGAAGTTATAATAATTGTAGGATTAGATTTTCAAATAAGATAAAATATTAAAAGAGATTGAATGAATATAAAACATAGTAGAATTAAAATGAAACAAGGAAAATAAAAAAGTTATAACAAAAGAAGTACTAGGTAACTTCAAAAAACTCTCACTCTCAAGGTGCTTTCCCGCATAATCAGGTCAAATTGACATGTGAGATCAGTCTTCAATCTTATAAAACGTCTTCTCCTTACGACCTTACTTTAAAAAAAATTAAATAAATACATAAGGTAATAAATAAATAAAATCATTAAGGTACTTCTTTGAAAGAAAAAAAAAATCTTTAAGTTACCAAACTCTCCATTCACGCGTAACAAATGATCTGAACGTAAACATCTCAATGAGTCAATTTCCAGCACAGCAATAACTCCAAAGTTGTTGCTTCTTACAAGTACATCACATGAATGACGAAGGCCCAATAAGCAGGAACCCTAACATGGACTATTATAACACTAAAATAATTACAATCTTCAGAATTCAGTGGTTCAGTGTGTCTTTAACTAGATACACTATTTAACTCCAACTTTACACGAATTCCCTGTAATCTAGCATTTACAATAATGCCATAATGGACAACATAAATTTGTTTTTTTAACATATACATTGGTGTTACAAAATAGATAGTAGAGACTGGTAAAATGGCAATCCTGTACTTAGGGATGACAATTTAATAATCCGTTTAATATTAGTCCGAATCCGATAATATAGATCCGAATTCGAATAGGAGGTGGATCGGACTTGGACCCTACGCAAAGTCCGACGGAGTCCGATCCGAGAACGAATCCAAAAGTATAAGCATATGCTCTATAACTTGGGACAATTATTTGCTTGTTTTGTAGCAAAATTTTGTTATATAACTTAGTTTATAATTTAAATATGTTATGTTTAACTTTAATTGGTATGACAATACAAGCAATTATAGGTATATGACATTACAAAAAATAAAAATAAAAATATTCGGATCATTTCGGAGGTCCGAATAAACAGACCGGAATCGGATCCGAAAATTACGAGTCGGATTGGATTCGGACTCAAATTTTTCGGATTCAGATCCGAGTCCAGGGTCCGTTTACTAAACGGATTGGATTCGGATTTAGCCACATCCGACCCGAATCCGATCCTTTGTCATTCCTTGTACTCTATAACCTTTTATGTGTTGTATACTACAATATATTTTACCAAACAATTCACCAACGTATTACTTCCTCTGTTCTTTTTTATTTGACCTGTTTCTTTTATCACGCTAGCCAATGCAAAACTTTAACAATCAATAACTTAAATTCTCCAAAAAAAAATATTATAAAAGTTATATATTATGATATTATTTATTGAGACGAATCGAAAAAATCATGCATGAATATATTTTTCCTTACATATTATTCACAAAAGACGGTAAAGAAGGGGTGGTGAATAGTGTAAAAGTCAAAGCGGGTCAAGTAATAAAGAACGGAGGAGGAAGTATGTATTACTGTAAACAATTATAAATCATGACAGTGATACGAGTAACAAGTTGTATGTAATTCTTACAGTTAGAATATAGTCCTGTGTCATTATTCACCATATCATAGAGTCTTATTCACTAGCTAGCACATTTTCTTCGGAAAATTGTTATTACCACTGATTACCAGTTTACCACATAGGATATAGTAACGAAAGTTTATAAAGAAAACAAATGTTTGGAATTATTGCAATATCATGGTACTACGTATACGACTAACAAATGACATTTTTCATACAAATTAATTACCACATCGAAATTTTTGTAGGAAAATTTGTAATTATTAATCCCAACTTTGAGCCATTTACTTTTATTAATCCCAAGTATCGATTATTCCTGAATAGTCCCAACTTTAAGGGGTGTTTTCTTTTATTAGGTCCAAATTACCGGTGACCTGAAGAAAGGTAAACTCTTTTTTTTTGTTTTTTCATATTGCCACATGTCAGCTTTTAAATGGTCGAAATAATAAAAAAATCTTTTAACAAAAAAAATCTGAAAACTCCTCCCTCCCTCCTAGCCCGCAGACACCGCCACCGGCACCACCTCTCTTAACCAGCGACCTACCTCATCCCAATGAACCACCCAACCCAAACCCTTGCCCAAGAACCTGAAACTCCTCCCAACTAGCAACCACCAAGTTAACCCCTCCCAACCACCAACCCGCATACTTTCGCAAGTTCGCAACCGCCATTGTTGAACCTTCTTCTTCTTCTTCAGCTTAATTTTTCAGTAGTTCTGATTTTCTAGGGTTAGAAATGATTAAATTGAAATGGGGTTGAATTGAATTGAATTGAATTGGGTTGGTTTAAATAATTTGGGGGAGAATTGAAATAGGGTTGAACTGGTGGTTGGTGTTTGGTGATTGGTGCGGGTTGGTGGTGATTGGAGATGAAATTCGGGAACAGGGGAATTAATTGGTGGGCTGCAGTTTGTTGTGGATTGGAGTTGGTTGGTTTGAGGTGTTGGCAGCAGTGCTGCAAATGGTGTTATCGGTGGTGATGGCTGCGGGTTTTGTGGGGTGAAGATATGCGTGTTGTGAGGTGGAGTGGTGGCAGGGAGTAGGGGAGTTGTTGTTTTGGTGTGGGCTGCTTTGGGTGAGTTGGTGGTGGGAAATCGGTGAACGGGGCACTAGTGGAAAAAAGTCTATTTGTAAGCCGTTACGGGCATGTTGTTGCCCATTACAATAACATCATTCGTAACGGGCGATATTAAAGTCCGTTACAAAAAAATTCAATCCGGGTAAAAAATGAGTATTTGTAATGGGCGGTAAGGTGTCCGTTACAAATAAATACTTATTCGTAACGGGCACCTTTCTGTTCGTTACGAATAAATTTTTATTTGTAACGGGAAATTACTGACAGTTACAAATACTAAGTTATTCGTAACGGACATTTTCTGTCCGTTACAAAAAGTAAAGTCAACACGAGATTGACCAACTTATCTGTAACTGACTTAAAGCGTCCGTTACGATTAAATGTTCAAAATTAACCCTAAAAATTTTGCAATCCCCTTTTTTCATTTTCCCTCACTCATACTGTACTTGCTATACTAGCTCGATCTGTTCCCCATTGAAGACGCAATCTCATCTTCTCCGTCGCCGGTCCTCTGTTTCTCCGTCACCGGGCCTCACGCCCAGCCTTTTCAAAATAGTCATTCCCTCCAACATTCTCTCTCTCCTCGATAGATATTCCCAAATTCTTAGTTGTTAAATTGATGTTCTTAATTTGAGCTTCATTTCTGGGAATTTTCCACTTGTTGAAAAAATTATTGGGTTTTTAGTTTGATAATCAACACTCAATTGGGTTCTCAATGTCTTGAGAATTTGCAATATACGCAACAATTTTGTAGGGATTTCCGAAAATTTTCAAGGTTAGCTTTCTTTTAACTATTTCAATTTTACGGAGAAATTTCGTGAAATAAATTATCAATCGCTTGAATTCAGCACTTCATCTCAATTTCTTCTTTTCGATCATTTTTGCCTATTTGTGATGGTTGTTTTTATGTTAGGGTTTCTAATTTGCTCAATTGTTTACCAGCAATATTACAGTAGTCTAAATTACCATATGCTTTGTCGAGTTCTCAATTTCCAAACACATTTCTACTTTCGTTTATTCCTAGGTTAGTTGTAGAATTGGGTTATATTGTTCAATTATATGCTGAAATTTTCTAATAATATCATTCAATTTTGTGTAGAAAGACTAGAAACGGTGGTGTTTGCGGCTAATTAGTGTATCACGGTATGTATTCTCCTTCTAATTTCTTATTGTGGGTTTTCCAATATTAATTTAGGGATTTTTCTGATCTATATTATTATTGTGATGTTGCTGGAAATTAATTTGCAGGTAAAAATGAACTAGCCTATTTCATTTAGTATATGCTTAGATGATTAATTGGTTAGAGAAAACTACTGCATTTGAATTCGCAATGGCGGAACAAAAGGGGTACACTAAGTTACATGCTTGTATGATTAATTTATTAGAGAGAACTACTGGATTTGCTTTTGAAACATTGATTTTTTTTACTTTTCAAGTATTCAATGTTTCATTCCTTTTTTAATTTCTTCAATTTTTTAATTTTTATTATCTAGTTTGTTAGACTAATAAATTATATAGTTAATATCTGGTTGAATTAGTTTAGTTTTTTCAAGTGAGTAGTTGAATTAGCTGTTAGATTAATAGATTATTGTCTCCTGATCATTTTATAACTCTTTATCCGAAGAAAATCAGTTCAGTTTCAATTAAATGTTTAATCAAGAAGAAATAAGTTCTCCCTTTCTCCTTGCAAGCTCAGGTGGTCGCTTAGGCAATCTTGAGTGAAAAGCTTAAAAATCGGTCTCTTTATTGGATTTTGGCCTGTCAAACTCGTAATGCAGATGGATCGTGGGCTATAGACCCGAAGAATGCCAAAACCCAGCAAATAGCCAATGCTATTGTAAGTGTTGTTCTAAGTAACCAAGTATAGTTTTTTTTCAATTACTTGTTTATACTTTTGAGCTGATCAGTTCTGATCAGGCCTTTTCTGTTTATTGCTCATTTCCTGCGTTGTTTAATGGGAGGCCTTTTCTGATCAGTCTGATCAGGTCTTTTCTGTTTATTGCTCATTTCCTGCTTCCTGCATTGTTTAATGGGCTTTGCTAAATTTGAGGCCTTTTCCGATAAGTTCTGATCAGTTACGATCAGTTCTGATCCGTTCTGAAATTTCAGTTCTGATCAGTTCTGATCCGTTCTGAAATTTCAGTTCCGATCATTTCTGAAATTTCAGTTCTGATCAGTTATGAAATTTCAGTTCTGATCAGTTCCGATCAGTTCTGATCAGTTCTAAAATTTCAGTTCTGATCAGTTCTGAACAGTTCCGATCAGTTCTGAAATTTCAGTTCTGATCGGTTCCGATCAGTTCTGAAATTTCAGTTCTAATCAGTTCCGAACAGTTCCGATCAGTTCTGAAATTTCAGTTCTGATCAGTTCCGATCAGTTCTGCAGTTCTGATCAGTTCTGAAATTTCAGTTCTGATCATGGTCAAAATGGAGAAGACATTTTGGGTGTCAAAATTACTAAATTGATTGAGGAGATCATAGCGTAATGGTAATGGTGGTGTGATTATTGTGGATTGAGATTAAATTGTGAAAGTACCTTGGTGTTGAACAAGTTTGGGAAAAACATTTTCCTTGGAGATTTCCCTGGATGTACATATGGACATTTTGTCTGTTGATTAATGAACTAGCTCGTATTTCCTATCAAAAAAAAATTCTTAACAAGACAAGAATTGAAGGTATGGAGACAAGTTTTTCATTTGATAGGATGGATGCAAATGATGGGTTACTCCCTAGAAAATTAGCTCAGTGTAGGATTTGCCATGATGAAGATGAATCATCAAACATGGAAGCACCATGTGCTTGTTGTGCTAGCTTGAAGGTCGGTATAATGTCATGTTATAGTTGATTGTTGGTGTGTTCAATTGAATTTTGATTTGATTATGTGTCTTGTTACTTGTGTATGACTGAAGCTGTGAAGGTGTTTGCATTGCCTTGTTTACCAGAATGTTCTGATTTGGAAAGAAGTTCTTTTGTGTGTGTGTGATCATGGTCAATAATTTTAGGGGTGAGCATGGGACGGGTACCCGTACCGTTAGTACTAACGGTTCGGGTACTCGATAACCAATATCACTAAAATGATATCTATAACCCGAACCGATAAGTTTGGGTACCCGGACTTCGGGTACCCGAATTTTCGGAACGGTTATCGGGTACCCTATAAAGTATCCAATAGTGATAATTAAACTTAAAAAATTAGTTATTATGATATTTTTTTAACACTAACTAAAAACAATACTACATGATCTTGACCAAATTATTAATAACATTACTAATTATTGATATTTATAGTGATGATGAAGTAATGTAAGAGTTTAAATATTGAAAAGATAGATTTAAGTAGGAAAAAAAACAAAATAATTGCTTATCGGAACGGAACGGGTACCCGTTAATTTTAAAATGATACCCAAAAACCATACCCGATAACAAATTATCGGAACGGGTACCCGAACCGTTATGGTTATCGGATCGGGTACCCTAATTTTCGGAACGGTAACGGAACGGGTTTTCATGTTTTCGGTTTTTCGGGTAGTTTTGCTCAGCCCTAGTCAATATATGGTGTTCTTGTGTTTTGATTTTTATAAAATGCTTTATATGCTTGTGTAATTTATGTGCTTAGCAATCAATGCCTCATTGAATTCGAGTTTTTGATTAATACCAAAGCCATCTAGATAAATTGAAGAATGAAAGTATAGTTCCGATTTGTTCCAATCAGTTCTGATCAGTTCCGATCAGTTCTGAAATTTCAGTTGTGATTAGTTCCGATCGGTTCTGATCAATTCCGATCATTTAATTTTTGAATTTCATTTCCGATCAGTTCTGAAATTTCAGTTCTGATCAGGTCTGAAATTTCAGTTCCAATCATTTCTGAAATTTCAGTTCTGATCAGTTTTGATCAGTTCTGATTAGTTCTGAAATTTCAATTCTGACCAGTTCTGAAATTTCAGTTCAGATCAGTTCTGAAATTTTACTTCCGATCAGTTCTGAAATTTCAGTTCCGATCAGTTCAGATCAGTTCTAATTAGTTCATTTCAAGTCTTTTCTATTTATTGCTCGAGTCCTCGCCAGTTATCATGTTCACTGCCATCATTGTTCTATGCTGTATATGCTGATCAGATCTGATTAGTTCTATGCATATTGCTTTATGTGCTGATCAATGGTCAATATTCATTAATTTCAATTCATAAAAACCAAAATATAAGTTAATTAAGGATGTTATGTGTTATAGTGTGTTAATTTAAACAAATACATGAAAGGTGGGAAAGATAGAAGTCCCTTAGGCAATTTTGAAGTCTTTTTGGCTCTATACGCTCCCAAAAGTGAGTAAATAGTCACTTTTCATTTGAACAAATACGTGAAAGATGGGAAAGGTAGAAGTCCCTTGGGCAATTTAGAAGCCTTTTTAGCTATATACGCTCCCAAAAGTGAGATAATGGTCAATTTTCATTGATTTCAATTCATAAAAACCAAAATATAAGGTAATTAAGGATGTTATGTGTTATATTGTGTTAATTTGAGCAAATACTTGAAACATGGGAAAGGTAGAAGTCCCTAGGCAATTTTAAAGCCTTTTGGCTCTATACGCTCCCAAAAGTGAGTAAATAGTCACTTTTCATTGATTTCCATTCATAAAAACCAAAATATAAGGTAATTAAGGATTTTATGTGTTATATTGTGTTAATTTGAACAAATACACGAAAGATGGGAAAGGTAGAAGTCCCTTAGGCAATTTTGAAGCCTTTTTGGCTCTATACGCTCCCGAAAGTGAGATAATGGTTAATAATCATTGATTTCAATTCATAAAAACCAAAATATAAGGTAATTAAGGATGTTATGTGTTATGTTGTGTCAATTTGAACAAATACTTGAAAGATGGGAAAGGTAGAAGTCCCTTAGGCAATTTTGAAGCCTTTTTAGCTATATACGCTCCCAGAAGTGAGATAATGGTCAATAATCATTGATTTCAATTCATAAAACCAAAATATAAGGTACTTAAGGATGTTATGTGTTAATTTGAACAAATACTTGAAAGATGGGAAAGGTAGAAGTCCCCTAGGCAATTTTGAAGCCTTTTTGACTCTATACACTCCCAAAAGTGAGATAATGGTCAATTTTCATTGATTTCAATTCATAAAACCAAAATATAAGGTAATTAAGGATGTTATGTGTTATATTGTGTTAATTTGAACAAATACATGAAAGATGGGAAAGGTAGAAGTCCCTTAGGCAATTTTGAAGCATTTTTGGCTCTATACGCTCCCTAAAGTGAGATAATGGTCAATAATCATTGATTTCAATTCATAAAAATCAAAATATAAGGTAATTAAGGATGTTATGTGTTATATTGTGTTAATTTCAACAAATACTTGAAAGATGGGAAAGGTAGAAGTCCCCTAGGCAATTTTGAAGCCTTTTTGGCTCTATACGCTCCCAAAAGTGAGATAATGGTTAATTTTCATTGATTTCAATTCATAAAAACCAAAATATAAGGAAATTAAGGATGTTATGTGTTATATTGTGTTAATTTGAACAAATACATGAAAGATGGGAAAGATAGAAGTCCCTTAGGCAATTTTGAAGCCTTTTGGGCTCTATACGCTCCCAAAAGTGAGTAAATAGTCACTTTTCATTGATTTCAATTCATAAAAACCAAAGTATAAGGAAATTAAGGATGTTATGTGTTCTATTGTGTTAATTTGAACAAATACATGAAAGATGGGAAAGATAGAAGTCCCTTAGGCAATTTCGAAGCCTTTTGGGCTCTATACGCTCTCCCAAAAGTGAGTTAATAGTCACTTTTCATTGATTTCAATTCATAAAAACCAAAATATAAGGTAATTAAGGATTTTATGTGTTATATTGTGTTAATTTGAACAAATACATGAAAGATGGGAAAGATAGAAGTCCCTTAGGCAATTTTGAAGCCTTTTGGGCTCTATACGCTCCCAAAAGTGAGATAATGGTCAATAATCATTGATTTCAATTCATAAAAAGCAAAATATAAGGTAATAAAGGATGTTATGTGTTATATTGTGTTAATTTGAACAAATACTTGAAAGATGGGAAAGGTAGAAGTCCCTTAGGCAATTTTGAAGTCTTTTTGGCTTTATACGCTCCCAAAAGTGAGATAATGGTCAATAATCGTTGATTTCAATTCATAAAAATCAAAATATATGGTAATTAAGGATGTTATGTGTTATATTGTGTTCATTTGAACAAATACTTGAAAGATGGGAAAGGTAGAAGTCCCCTAGGAAATTTTGAAGCCTTTTTGGCTCTATACGCTCCCAAAAGTGAGATAATGGTCAATTTCCATTGATTTCAATTCATAAAAACCAAAATATAAGGAAATTAAAGATGTTATGTGTTATATTGTGTTAATTTGAACAAATACATGAAAGATGGGAAAGATAGAAGTCCCTTAGGCAATTTTGAAGCCTTTTGGGCTCTATACGCTCCCAAAAGTGAGTAAATAGTCACTTTTCATTGATTTCAATTCATAAAAACCAAAATATAAGGAAATTAAGGATGTTATGTGTTATACTGTATTAATTTGAACAAATACATGAAAGATGGGAAAGATAGAAGTCCCTTAGGCGATTTTGAAGCCTTTTGGGCTCTATACGCTCCCAAAAGTGAGTAAATAGTCACTTTTCATTGATTTCAATTCATAAAAACCAAAATATAAGGAAATTAAGGATGTTATGTGTTATATTGTGTTAATTTGAACAAATACATGAAAGATGGGAAAGATAGAAGTCCCTTAGGCAATTTTGAAGCCTTTTGGGCTCTATACGCTCCCAAAAGTGAGTAAATAGTCACTTTTCATTGGTTTCAATTCATAAAAACTAAAATATAAGGAAATTAAGGATGTTATGTGTTATATTGTGTTAATTTGAACAAATACATGAAAGATGGGAAAGATAGAAGTCCCTTAGGCAATTTTGAAGCCTTTTGGGCTCTATACGCTCCCAAAAGTGAGTAAATAGTCACTTTTCATTGATTTCAATTCATAAAAACCAAAATATATGGTAATTAAGGATTTTATGTGTTATATTGTGTTAATTTGAACAAATACATGAAAGATGGGAAAGGTAGAAGTCCCTTAGGCAATTTTGAAGTCTTTTTGGCTTTATACGCTCCCAAAACTGAGATAATGGTTAATAATCATTGATTTCAATTCATAAAAACCAAAATATAAGGTAATTAAGGATGTTATGTGTTATATTGTGTCAATTTGAACAAATAATTGAAAGATGGGAAAGGTAGAAGTCCCTTAGGCAATCTTGAAGCCTTTTTGGCTCTAAACGCTCCTAAAATGGAGTTAATAGTCACTTTTCATTGATTTCAATTCATAGAAACCAAAATATAAGGTAGTTAAGGTTGTTATGTTGTAATATTGTGTTAATTTGAACCAATACTTGAAACATGGGAAAGATAAAAGTCCCTTAGCGCAATTTTGAAGCCTTTTTGGCTCTATACGCTCCCAAAAGTTAGTAAATGTTCACTTTCATTGATTTCAACTCATAAAAATCAAAATATAAGTTTATTAAGGATGTTATGCGTTTTATTTCTATATTATGAGTTTTATTTCTATAATTTGGTCCATCACATTTATTCTAATGATTGTTTTATTATGGATTGTTTTTATTTTGTAACCTCTTTCATATGTTTTTTTTCCAATAGGATTTTTGTCCAAGGATAGCCCCGTATTATGTTGACGAATTGAATGTGGTTCGAGAACAGTGGGCGCAATACTTTAGAAGTAAATATTTATTGTATGCATAACTATTAGCTTAGGTAGAACAAAGTTATATTTTTAGTGTTGTTGTATATGTTGGATAAAGTTATACAAGTTTTTATTTGTAATGTGTTACTACTTCAATTTTTATATTACGTCGTATTAATTCGAAATCGGTATAATTGCTTATTTACAGGAACAGGTTTATTATAACAGGTTTTAATTAATATATATTAATTATATATAAATACATCCTGTCAAAATTTAATAAATAAAAATTCAATTTAATGATTATTTGTAACGGGCAGTAGAGTTGTTAGTTACAAATAACCACTTATTCGTAACAGGCATTTTTGTTGCCCGTTAAAAATAAGTGTTAAATTATATATTATAAAACTTTATTCGTAACGGACATTTAAAATGACCGTTACAAATAATCACTTATTCGTAACGGGCGTTTTATATGCCCGTTACGAATAAGGACTTATTATAATACAAAAAAGGATTTATTCGTAACTGACATTTCAAATGTCCGTTACGAATAACCCCTTATTCGTAACTAACATTTCAAATGTCAGTTACGAATAACCCATTATTCGTAACGGACATTTCAAATGTCCGTTACGAATAACTTCAAATGTCCGTTACGAATAATGGGTTATTCGTAACGGACATTGCCCGTTACGAATAACAATGGCCATCCGTAACGGCCGCATACGTAACGGACGCTGCCCGTTACAGATGGGCCCTTTTTGCCCGTTACGGATGGCCTTTTTTCCACTAGTGGGGAGGGGGGGGGGAGGCAGTCTTCCAGCGTCAAAGCTTGGGTGGCACCGTGACAGTCTGGTAGATCGGTGGTTGGGGGGGGTTTCTTAATTTTTTTTAACCTGTAGAATGTTGACACGTGGCAAATGACTTGCTGCTATAGGTTTGGTAACCTGTAAGGCCTGATAAAAGTCAATACCCCCTAAAGTTGGGATTATTCATGAATAATCGATAGTTGGAATTAATGAAAGTAAATGGCGTAAAGTTGGGATTAATAATTACAATTTTTTCAATTTTGATATTCTAAATTTATATTATAAATCTTGTAAATTAAATTAGATAAAGATAAAAAAACGTTAACCAAATATAAAATCGATTCAAACAAAATCGAATTAGATTTCGATTAGTTTGGACATGATAATTTAGCATGATTCAAATTTTAAGTAAATCTACTTCGACTTGATTTTGGTAAATCCAGCCTAATCATATGAAATAACACCTCTATAAAAATCCACAAAATTAAGAACTTAAATACCACTTGTTACGTCAATTGTTCACTTATTGTTTACAATCCGACCGCATAAAATATTACGAGTATAATATTATGAATTCTATGCACCGTGGCCTTTGTTGGACAATCACACGAGGCCCAGTGTAGTTGATTGTTTTGGACGTACGTCTTAAATCCACTGGGTCCTCTATTAAAAGGCCTTTCTTGTATGTCTGACATTTGTGTTCGTTGCAGACACTAAAAAAATCATTTTCGAAATTGAGGCCAAATTTGAGGGCCAAATCCCTCAACGTTTCTCGATGATCAAATCGTGTAAACTGTATTACAGCTTTTACAGATAATGAATTAGTGTTTAACTCTTTTAGAATATAAGATCATACTTCCTCCAATTCTTGTTAGTTAACAAAGCTTCACACAATTTGATTTGACAATATAGAAATAGGATTATGAGCTAATAAGTTTCCAAACTCCTTGCTAACAAAGTGGTTCAAAATTAAACTCATCATGTGTATGGTAGATAAACAAGCTTGAGGAATAATCGTAAGCTCGTCAAATTAATGTGAAAAACTTGAACTCGAAAATGTTTGTGAACAATTGGTTTAAGCTAGTTTGTGAGCAACTAGTTTAAGTTTGTTCATAAGTTTTTCATGTCCGATTATAACTCGATCAAACCTCATTCAATCACAAAAAAATTATTCTATTTATTTTAAAACATCTTTTAATTTTGGTGTCTCTGTATTTCTTTTAGTCTTTAATATTTTAAAATTACATAGGAAAATTGGCTTAATATAATATCAAATGTTAACGGTGTGTGCAAAATAATACAACCTCAACTATTTGTTATCATCTGTACAACCTTTTGTACTATATGTGCAAAGTGGTACGCTAGCCATTGAAGAAGGCATCTTAAGAAATATTCCGTTCATATTCACTATTATATTATTTTTATTATAATTTTTTAGTAATAAATTTATTTTTTTCAAAATACATTTTATGTTAATAATTTTCTCCTACCCAAATTTATAAAGCCCCGTCCTTTTGTTAAGCTAGTAAATTATTTTTCTCTAAAGGAAAAAAACATTATTATATTGATATAATTAGTTTCAGAGAAGATATTGCATGCACATGGATGTACAAATTGTTTGGTGCGGGAGGCTTAGCTGATATATTTTAATTCATTGTGTTTGATTTTGCAGGTGGTGGAAGGACGGAGACCGTCGCTACCGCTACATTCTCCAGCCGCACAAAATGTGTTAGTTTCAATGCATTATTATACTACCTCCGTTAACGGTTATTTGCAACAAAGGGGGTCTGCGCGGACTTCTAGGCAAAAGTTTTTAAATATGATTATTGAAATATAAGGGTATATATGCTTAAGGCCTTAACTATTAATCCTACTACTACTACCAAAAAAAACAAAAATAAACACAATTACCCAAACACCCAAAACCACCAACCACCAACCACCAACCACCAAAGCCATCGAAACCCAGAACCCAAAACTACCATTGAAACCACCGGATTCCAACCACGAACCTAGAAAACCACCAATGAACCCCTTAAACTCTTCGACGATCCATCAAAACTACCCCCACCGAAACCCTTTAACGACCCACCAAAAACCACCCCTAACTGCTTCCCTTTGACGAACCACCAAAACCACCCGGTCCCCACGAACCACCAAAATCAATTCGATCGACTACCACTAAAACCAACCCCACGAACTCAGGGAACCCACCTGCGAACCCAACCACGAAAATCAGCCCCACAAACCACCAAAATCATCAGCACCCTTGCACCAAGACCCAGACGCACTAACTACAACCCACAAACCCAGATCCCAAACCCGCAAAACCAAGACCGTTTTTCTAGATATTATTTGAGTGTGTTTTTTCTTCAATTCATGAAAAGTGGGTGAAGGAAGATAGATAAAGTTAATGTTGAAGAGGATAAAAACGGAGACATTAGATTATGGAGAGGAAGAGGAAGAAGATGATGAAGGAGGAGAGAGAAAGATAATGGGGAAGATGATGAAGAGATGAACATGGATTGATGATTATTGAAAGATAAAATAAACTTAATTAGATTAGATTAGTTTTTAATCAATTATGTTTTAAGTATGTAATTGATGTTATAAAGTATTAAGTAAGGGTGTTTTTTTAATTTCATTTAAAAAAAGTTTCTAAAAATGGAAAGATTTGGGAATGTTGCAAATAAAAGTTAGCACTCTTTTTTAGTAAATATTGCAAATAATTGTTAACGAAGGTAGTATATTGATATAATTGGTTTCAAACAATATATTAAAAGCCAAAATTAACATAATATTTCCTTTATTTCATTAAACTTACAATACACCCTTAGACATACTAATCTATTTAAAAATGATTAGACTATGTGATCGAATAAATATAACACTTTCTTCTTATCGGTGGTAAAATTTTGTTAATTAATTTGTCCATTTATCTAGTCTAATATCTCTTTTAAAGGAGAAAGCCCCAGTTTATCTCCTTGATAAACAAAATTCATTTATCAAATGGAAAAATTGTATATAAATCAATAATTATTTATTTATTTATTTATTATTTTTAGGAAAATCAATAATTTTGCTTAGTCATCATGGCCAATAAGTCAACTATTGTGAGGTCCATTTTCTAGTCATCATGACATGATTGTAAATAAATTAACTATTGTGGGTTTTTTTTTCTCCTTTTAAAGTGTGTGTCAAGTCAAAATAATGTGTTATTGTAAATAAAAATGTAGGAATCATATATTTTGGATAAAAAGTTAATAATTACTCTATAATTGTGAAATAATCTATCTATATCTATAACTAATCTATTAACTATTACTAAAAAAAACATTGATGATGTCATCAATTTCTTAAAGTGCTTACGTGTCAAACTCTCATAAAAAAATTTTCCTCCAATTTTTACCTATGATGTTTTCATTTTTTTTTGTGCCTTTCCTAGCTAGAAACTAGGACCAATTAGGTGTGAAATTTGAATTTGACATCAATATTGTTGTATATACTCCACACTACTTTTGGATATTCATAATACAACAATATTAAATAGACATAGATGTTGGTAGCTAATTATACACATTTTTTTGAACAAATTAATACACATTTTTTTTAATAGTAAATACAAATTTATTTAGCTTCTACTCTAAACGTATAAGATTAATGAATTATACATTTATACAACATTAATATATTTAATCTAACCATCATTTTAGTATATTTTTTAATAACATAGTAAATATTACATTATGATGCAGCATTTTATAACTAATTTTTTTTAAGTACATGTTTTTTTTAATATATTTATATAACAATTTTTTTTTAAAAAATAACGAGCCAAATCATATTAGAAAGTTATCAACAACAAAAGATAAAGAATTATAGAAAAATTACTAATCAACCACCGTGCAACACACGGGTACTAATCTAGTACAGTACTAATGTAGCAACTACTGATTTCATCTTTATTCAAAGTTGTACATGTGGCACTATTTCATGAAAAAATTACCCGCTCAAATGTTTTTATTTTTTTGGAAACAAAATGTGATAAGTCGTGTATAATACGTGTTTTTAGAGTCTAGTTAGGTAGTTTTCGAGTCTAAATTAGTTGTTTATAGCTTATTTTGGCTTGATTTGGTTTAGTTGTGATCATACGATGTTAGTGTGTTTTGAGAAGGCATAAAATTGGAAGTTGAAGTTTCATATGAGGCACGCCCATGTTCATTAGAGGCACGCCCATGTCGAGTCGAGTGTTTTGAGCTAGCAGCTACGTGCTAAGGGAAGCATGCCCATGTTGAATGTGGGCATGCCCATGCTCGTCGAGTGAAGTTGGCCCAGCGAGACACGCCCATGTCAGAATTTGACATGTCCATGTCTCGCTGGAGATTGAAGAAAAATTGAATCTGA